CAACATCGGGGCAGAGGAGCTGGCACCCGGCACAGCAGAGCTGGTAGCCACCTGCCCAGCTGGACCCCTCCGGGCTCTCCCCCACGCCACGGGGAAGCCCGTGCCCCAGCGTGTGAGGTGGCAGTGCCGGTTGGAAATGAAGGTCCCATACAGGACAGGGATGGGATCCCCCAGCCAGAACTCCTCCATCCTCCCACATCATCCTCCCTCATCCCAAGACTTGTGTTCCCCCTTGTGCCAAAGGTGGCACTTGTGCGGGGGGTGCCCCAAGTGCAGCTCTGGGTGCATCGCTCTGCACTGAAGAGCTTTTCTGCAAATTAAGGTCTAGAAATTATCAGCTGCTAATTACCATTACTTTTCGCTGTGCTCATGCTGCCCCAGAGTCCCATCACTGGCCTCGGGAATTGTTTGTGAGGTCAGTTGTGCTGTGGGTCCCCGTGGTGGCTGGAGGGTGGCAGGGGCAGCAGGGAGGTGGGAAGGGCCCCTCGGTACCCCGTGCTCGGGTGGCCCTTCCCAGAGGCAGCTGTGAGAGCTCGGCTGCCCGGGACCTTGCTGGGATGTGTGGGGGGAGCAGGCGTGGAGCTTGCAGGGCCCCGGAGCCAGCAAGTGCCTTTATTTACAGCACTTGCAGTCTTGGCTGCTTTTCCATCTCATGGAAAAAAAAACAAACACCCAAAACACTAAAGAAAACCGAACAAAAACAAACAAACAAAAAACCCCAACACTCTTCTCCATGTCATAAGATGAGATGGTTGTGGACTGGTTTGTGACTCTTTTAAGAGCTCAGCAGAAGGGGGCATGGCACAGGGAGAAACAGCAGCCCTGAGGCCCCAGGTGTTGAGAGCCACACGTTGATCGAAATGAGGAAATTTAAGTCAGAGTCCTCTGCCCACAGACACCTCCCTTCCTGCCCTCGCCTGCTCTCGAGCTGTGCTCAGCCTCACCACGCTTTCCTCTGTGGTTTGTGCCCCATAAAACGGCCCTGCTGCTGTGACTAAGTTGCAAATTAATCCCGAAAGCAGCACTGAAAATCCCCTTTATGGCAAAAAGGGCTAAGGGCAGCCATCGAGCCCCTCCTGCCCACCTTCTCCTGCAGGGTTTGGGGGGAGACCTTCACCTGCCCACTGCTGATGGGTGGCCTTGCAGAGATTCTCCCTTGGGGTTGATTGGGGATGGGGGGAGCCATCAAACCCCAAGGGCGAGTCTTGGGGTGAATGTCATGGGGCTGGGTGCTGCCACATGCCTGGGGGCTGCAGAGGCTTTTGGGGCTGGTCCCAGGCTGGAGGTGACCTTGTGGAGCCCGTGCCAGGCTGGGTCTGGTGGGTGGGTGACATACCAGGAGCTACTGCATGCCCAGGGGGAGGCAGCTTGGCAGCCTTGTCCTTTGTCAGTGGGCAGTAGGGTGATAAGAAGGCATGAGCACAGGTGCCATGGCTAGAGCTCATCCCTGAGCTGTGGAACCACCCCCAGGGGACCCTTCCCCTCCCAGCTCCATCCAGCCATGCTTGGCCACTTGCCACCCCCACTCACCATCCCAGCCGTGCTCCTGGCGTGAGAGAGGCCAAGACGCCTTCCCAAAAGCACAGGCCTGAGGCTTGGCTGCCTTCCAGGGCTGGAGTGAATTTGTTTTGGAGATATAAGAACTATATGTAGCAGCAGGAGCCAGGGAAAGGTCAGGACACAAAACTCAGGGCTATCAATGGCACGAAGGGTTTGCATACAGGTCTGGCTGCAGGAGAGGTGGCAGCCACCTTCCTAACACAGCCGGTGGTGGGAGGACAAACACAGCAGCAGGGTCGGAGACAAGTCCCACACACCTGTGCCAGCGTTGCTCTGGCAGCCCTGAGCATCTGCTGCAGGTCCCGTGGAGGTTTTAAGGTCACAAGCCAAATCCTGGTCCTCTTCTCTGCAGCCACAAAGCAAAACCTCATCCCCAGGGGCAGGGTCAGGGTTTAAATGCTCATTTCCTGCCTCTTTGTGATTTTGTTCCCTGACTGCAACGTTTCATGGTTTAATTGCTTAACCTACTTGTAAAACAGGAAAAGAGGAAGAAAATACAGTACAAACCCCCACCTCACACTGAAAGCTGAAGCAGAGGCTGCAGCCAATCGTGCTGGCTGCCTCTGCACAGGTGCTCCCTATCACTGGCACCTTCAAGATGCCTCAGGTTCTGCTGGAAAACCCAGTTAATCCATCCATAAACAGTTTTGCCCCAGACTATTAGAAATATTTAGTTCTAAGACTGTGGATACTTTTTTATATATATATATATACACACATATATAAATGTAACTAGGAGGTATTTTTGGCACAAGCCTCCTCAAAGCTAAAGCTTTCCAGGAGAAGCATGGCCTGCACCTGCAGGATGCTTCAGGCTGCTTCTTCCCTGGCCAAAGCCATTCCAGCTGGAACAATTCCCAACCCACTCTCTGTGCACACAGTGGATATCAGAACCATCTTGCAGGTCTACAAAGTGCTGTGGGTGATACCAGAGACACAGCTCCCACATGCTGCCCTGTCAGTGGCAGCAGAAGGTCCCTCTATATTTCAGCCACATTTTGCTTTTCACTCTGTCTTTGGCAGAGGAGCTCCCATCCCAAAGGACAACTGAGTTATCAGGAACAAAATTAGCTCCAGACACTATTTTAATTGTTCCTAGAGATAGGAAGGGTGCCTGGCTGGCAGCCTCAGGGCAGGTATTTAGATTTGCTTGCTGATACTGGCTTACCTCTTGCTCCCTTTAGGCATTTCTGAGTTCAGTGCAGTTATCTCAAACCACCCTCCTTGAGCATGATATCTGAAGCCTCATCCCACTGGCTTTGGGGCATGGGGGAGAGGTGTAAGTGCCCTGGATCTGTGCTGGGAACACTTCCCACGCTATTAGGGTGACCAAGTGTGACCAGTCCTGGGCTTTCTGTCCATGGACATCACCTTCACCATCAAGAAGTTTGGGCAGGTGAGGTTTGGGAGTTGATCCCGGGGAAGGTACCAGCATCCTGCTCATGGCAAGGCTCAGATTATCCAAAATCCTTGGGGGCTTGTGTGACCCTGCCATGCCAGGACAGTCCCTCTGTACAGCCTTTGCTTTGTGACCATAAAACCTGAGGGCTCTTGAGGTTCTCATGATACCCCTGGGCTTGCACAGTCCCAACTGTCTCATCCACCACCCCCACACACACACCAGACTCCAAAACCCAGCCTGGGGTGCATGAAATAGCAGGGGGATGCACATTGGATGGGATGGGTGCAGGGGGTAGACCAGGGACCCTGGGGACACTTTGCAGGGAGGGCTGCCAGGGCTCAGTGGCATCCCAGAGCACCCCACACTTGCAGGAAGGAGAACAAACCCCGTGAATCCCAGCCTCCCGGTGCCTCCTCTCCCCGCCTGGGCGGTGTTCAGCCCCGCGGCCGCTCACGCCATAGAAGGGAAGATAAAGCCCCGGCTTTGCAGAGGCTCCGAGTTTTCCTGCTCTCTCTGGCAACTGCTCTTCCCTCCGGCTTCAGCAGGGGGGCTGCAGGGGGGGCGGGGAAGCCTGTTTGCTTGGCTTCGCTGTTTTCCCCCAGCCGGGCTCCCTACCCCAGGCTGTGTCTGGCCCGAGCTGGGGGGCGGGGGGTCCCCAGCTCCCCGCAGCCTGCAGGGCTGGGTTCCCTAGGGACTGGTATTTTTAGGGGTGGCTTTGCCGGGGGCTGGAGGGCAGCAACGTGTCTGCAGGTGGATTCCCTCACCCGCGGTGCATCCACAGCCCTGCCCAGAAGATCAGCCTGGTGAGGGGCATCAGGGGCCAGACCCACCCCGCGGCGGGGAGACTGAGCTGCAAGAGCAGGCGAGCTCTGCTTCTGTCTTTCGGCAACAGATAAAAATACAGCCATCTCTCCTTCTTTTGTTGTTTTTTTTTTTCTTCTTCTTCCTCGCCTCCAAGTGACTAAATGAACCTCGTGCGGGGCCGGCAGGCATCCCGCGGGGCGGCGGGGCTGAAAGCAGCTCCCGGCTCTGGGCTCTATCAGCCCCGGCAGCCCGGGCAGCGTGCGGGAGTGCGCGGGGCCAGCGGCACATTCCTGCGCTCCTGAGGTCATTCCCTGCCCCGCCAGCCCTGCACGAGGTGGGCGGCTGATGTAGCGTTGTTTTTCATTTCTCACTCCTGCTCCAGCACGGGCTGGGTCAGAGCCCAGCTGGGCAAAGCCCCAGGGTGTGTTTGGGGCGCCACGAGGTGCCAGGGACCTTGTGCTCAGGTGCCTGAGCATCCCTGGCCAGTGGGGACAGGGCAGGAGGAGGGTGGCAAGGAAGTGCCACAGTCAGAGCCCTGCCCAGTGCTGCCTGCTCTCCCCCACCAAATGTCTTGCTGCTGGAGCCTATTTTGCACCAGCACCATTTTATTGTTCCTGAGGGGGAAGGAATTGTGAGCAGCCCCCAGGTTTTCCAGCTGGTGGCTGGCAAGAGCTCAGGGTGTGCATCTGTGGGGGCTCAGGGCAGGCTGAAGGCAGGAGGTTGGGCAGGGACCACTGTTGCTCCAGCACCCGTGTTTTAGCACGGCTGAAGCATTCAGGGTGCCCGGCTGCAGGGTGGCCTCTGCCTGCAGTCGCCTGCCCCCCTTTGTCCCCCATTGCTCCAGCCCCCTCTCTCTCTGCCAGAGACAGCTAAAAGCCCAGCAGCAGAGGGGACCAGCTTCCCAGGAGCTCACAGCCTTGAAGACAGAGAACGGTGAGAAGAAAATGTGTGTCTCTTCCCCTGCTGTGCTTCCTCAGTGTGGCATTAGAAAGGTGGTGGGACAGGCCCCAGGGCAACCAGCCTGCACTGGGGCCAGGGAGGATGGGTATGAAGGCTGCAGCCTCCACATGCTGTTGGTACAGGTGAGCAGATGTGATGGCATCCTAGGGATGATGGAATCCTAGGGATGATGGAATCCCAGGGACCCTTCCAACCCACCGATGTTAGCATCTCAGGGACGATGGCATCTCAGAGATGATTGCATCCTAGCCTCTCCTCCGGGCAGGAGGCCTGATGAACTGTCTACTCTCTGACCCTGCTAGTGCCATCCTAATTAGTATTAATTTCCACCAGTGAGATGGGGGGGAAGTATTTGTCCACTGGGAAGAGGACAGGGGCTGAACCCAGGCCACTGTGCAGGCAGGTTGGCTGCCCAGAACATCCAAGCAGCCCAGTTAGCAGGATGCAGCTGGCAGCCCTTCAGCCTCCTTTGCCTCGCAGCCAATGCCACCCTATTTCCTGAGGATGGGAAGGAGAAGGCAGCACTGGGAGAAGAGCGGACGGAGAGCTCAAGATTCCTCCGAGGGCAAGAGGAAGAATGGCTGCAGGATTCCAGCCAGGAAGGGACCACGAGAATTGCCCAGGATGTTAACATCCAGGTTGGTCAAAGAGGCGGGTGCTGCTGGGGAAAGCACCTGGGCAGGGAGTGTGTGGCCAGCCAGGACTTCCCAGGCACAGATCTGACACACACTGGACTGGGGTCTCCCATTTTTGGGAGAAGGAAGGTGTTAGGAAGGGGTTTGGAAGCCCAGAAGGGTGCAAGACTGGTAGCATGAGGGGCAGGAAGGGCCAGGGCTTCCCTTACACCAGGTCAGACATGTAAAATTTGTCATCTCCCTGCTTCCTAGGTGGAAAAGGAAAAACACCTGGAGCTGGAGGAGCAGTTCAATGCCCTGAGGAGAGAGCACATGGAGACCCTGCAAGGTAAGAGCCCAGACTGGAGGGCTTCCCACAGCCCCTCTCTCCCCCCTGAGTTCTCCTGCCTCTCCTGCTTGGTGTGGGGTCGTGGGAATGCTGGCCCCCTGCTCTACAGCATAGTGGGGCTCTGGTGAGGCTTGCTGCCCTGGTGTCCCCACACCTGTGACACTCAGCTCATGTCCCGCCTGCAGAGCTCCAGAGAGCACATGAGCAGAAGCTGCTGCTGGCAGAGTCCCACCGCAGGTCCCAGGAGGCCTTACAGGTACCTGCAGAGAAGTCCCTGGGAAGGGGGTGACTGCGGAGGGCTTGAGGACCACCTGCTGGCTCCACCATGGTGCCCCAAGCTCCTTGGTCCTTGGTGTGTCCAGGGGTCACAAAGGTTCCTCCAGCCCTGGGGTTACTGGGGTGCCATAGCCCAGCAGTGCCCCAGCTCAGAAATAAATCCCAGACATCTCTCATCCTGCTTCTTCCCTGGCTGCCCTAGGAGACGATTCAGGCACTGAATTCCCAGCTGAAGTCCTTCCAGGAGAGGATGAAGCGGGTGGAGGAGTCACTCTTGAGCACAGACTACAAGAAACACATCGAGGTGCAGGGAGGGGTGGAAGGGAGGGGACTGGGGTGCTTCTCTGATGGACCCTGAGACAGGGTGGGGGGCACAGCTGATGTGGAGAGCAAAGCCCTTTCCCTGGGAGATGCGTGGGCTGTTGGGATCCCTTGAACACAAATGATGGGCAAAATATAGGTCCAAACCCATCCTTGGCCATGCAGGGCCCCAGCCGAGAGCACTGGCCCTCTGTGATCATGGAAGGGGGGAACTGACCCATGGCAGATGCCCCAAGTGCCCACCCCACTGGAGGTAAAGCACCCGTTGTGTCCCACAGGAGCACGGGAGCCCCAGCCCCTTCTGGGAGCAGGAGCTGGAGAGCCTGCACTTTGTCATTGAGATGAAGAATGAGAACATCCATGGCCTGGATAAGAAGCTGCTGAACGGTTGAAGGGGGGTGGGTCAGAGGTGGGCTTCCTTCTTTCCATTTCTTCTCCCCTCCTGAATCGAGGTCAAGTTGACTGGAGCTTTGAGCAGCCTAGTCTAGTAGAAAGTGTCCCTGCCCATAGCAGGGGGTTGGAACTAGATGATTTTTATGGTCCCTTCCAACCCAAACCCTTTCATGTCATTTTATGAATCCTGTCCAGAAATTGCAGCTGAAGTGGAGATGGACAGAGCCCAGTTCCTCTCTTGGAGAGGGGAGGGGACACGGATGTAATGCCATCACACTTCCACCCAGGCAGCATTCTCCCCAGGACAGGGTGACAGGGGGTTCAGGGGCACTTCCCAGCTCCCTCCTCACCTTGTGCCCCACTTCCAGGCGGAGAGGAACCTTCTCTTGGAGGAGAAGGTGAAGACTCTCCAGCAGGAGAACGAAGACCTTCAAGTTCGCTCCCAGAACCACTTAGTCATGGCAAGGTAAGTGCTGGTCCCACCCGCTCCCTGGTGGCATCTCCGATGGGGGGCAACCTGCAGTGCCACCGGGTGCTTCGAGGGGGCTGGCAGGAGCTTTGTTCCCTGCGGCTCCTGCAGCTGATGCCATGTGCCTGCAGGCAGCTGTCGGAGGAGCTGCTGGCCGCCCGCGGGGCGCTGGAGAAGGAGACGCAGCTGCGGGAGCAGGTTTGCCATGAGAAGGAAGAGCTGCTGTACCGGGTGCTCAACGGGGGGGACGGATCCCCCTTCCCCATCGCTGCCGGCGACGTGTCCCTCATCGCCACGTAGCACATCGCTGCCCACGCCTCTGCCCGGGGGCTGCCGGGGCTTTCCTGCGGCCATGTGAGCCCAGGGCTGCTCTCACCAGTGCCCCCAGGGCTGCTCTCACCAGTGCCCCCAGGGCTGCTCTCACCAGTGCCCCCAGGGCCAGTTGAGCTCTCAGGGCTGCCCTGTCCGACCGGGGCGATGGAGCATTTCACAGGACACTTGCCCCTGCCTTTTCCCAGCCTGTGTGGGGCTGCAGGGAGGACCCTGGGCAGCCCCTTGTACCATCCCAGCAGCCCTTCCTCTGGTGGGAGGTTGTGGGGGGCTTTCTGGGGGTGAAAGGGGTCAGCCAGGACATGCCGACGTGCATTGGGCTGGATCCAACCCAGTGCTTGGCTCTGAGCATGATCAGCACCGGTGCAGCCGGGGGGTGAGGTGAGGAAGATGAGGTGGTCACTGGGATGAGGATGAGCAGCCAAAGGATGAGGAGGGTACTGGGGACACAGTGGTGTTAAGGTACCTCATCCCCTTGGGAGCATCCCCAGGAAGCAGGTGGCCAAGCCCAGGGCTGAGCCATGGAGGCTTTCACGAGGCAGCAGCAGAGGGCAGAAGGGACAGGAGCAGCTGGATGCATCTGCCACCTCCAGCACTGCACTTGCTATAGACCATGTCAATCCATCCCAGTTCAGGGCTTGGCCTCCTGCTCAGACTGCTCCAAGCCAATGCCACCCGCTCCCACCATTTCCAGGGATAGCAGGGATATACCCCTGTCAGAATCTGCCTCACTCCCTGGGCAGGGGCTCAGGCAGGGCTATTCCATGCCCTCCTCTCCCCATCATCTCCTTCATCTCCAGCCAACAGCTCCCAGGGATCACTCCTGCAGCCCAGGCACACCCCCACTCACTGTCACACAGACACCAAGCCCTCCCTGTCCTTGCTGCCCAGCAGCAGCACCACCAGCCCCACCTTCTCCCCCAAAGCCGGGCAGAGGCTGCACGCCCAGAGATGCACATTCAGGGAGCAGAGCATCTTTCCAAGGGGGAGCAGAGCACCCTCCCTAGGGAAAGCACAGCACCCTCCCAAGGCAGGCTTCAGTCACATCACTCCCTGCTCTGCATCTCCCTTGAAGAAGATACTCCAAGCACAGCTGTGGGTCAGGGCTGGACGCACACAAGCACTTTCCACTGGGTGCACGAGTGTGGTGGGACGGTTGCTGCTCCGGGGGCTGTCACTGGCCTGTCCCCTCCCTCGGGGCTGTTTAGCCTGGGTGTGTGTACATGTGTGTGTGTCTGTCTGTGTGTGTGTGCACCAGGCCAACGTGCCACTGGCTGTAACAATTACAAGTCTGTATGAAGCAGCATCCCCAAGAATCCCATGTCAGTGGCTTTGGGGACCAGTGTGGAGCATCTCGGAGGAGAGACATGTGCTCCACACCTGGGGCAGGGGGAACATAGGGAGGGGTGGGAGCAGGCACCATGTAGCCACAACAAGGGAGCCCCAGAGGAAGCCCCACTGCCAGTCCCCTTTTTCCTGCTCCTTCCTTCATTTCATTAATTTCTGTGGCCTCCCAGCACAGGGTAGACCCCAAAGGAGCTGTGGATGTGGCAACAGCCCCTTCCGTCTTTTGTTCCAATCCTTATTGGGAAAAAAGCAGCTGAACAAAGCAGCCAGGAAGGCAACATGGATGAGGAGCCCAGCTCTCACCCAAGAACTTCCATGGGGTGCCCAGAGTGGAAAAGGGGAGTGCCTGTTGTGTCAGAGTAATGTCCCACCTGGGGGCCCCCTGCTCCACACATCCCCACAGCTCTGGGGACAGGTGGTGGAGCAGCCTCCAGCTTTGCACAGCAACCACAGGGACATGAGGGGACTGGGCAAAGGGAGACAAGGCTGGCAGGGTTGGGCATCCTGCTCTGGGCACCTGGTATAGCATCCCACTCCCCTGAAAGGGCATCCTGCGTGGGATCCAAGGGAATGTGCCCAGCTCTGGGAAAGCAGAGCGCTGGGAACCGAGGAGGAGGAACAAATTAGTCCAAAAACGACTTACCAACAGTAAGGAGGAAAAACCCCAGCACAGGCAGTGCCTTGGTGGGCACAGGAGGACAGGTAGATCCTCCCTGCCTGCCTTGGGTGCCAAGGCAGCAAGGAGGGTCAGGGCAGCACAAGAAGCCTCTGCTTTGCTATGAGCTGCTGAGGGACAGGGTGGGCAAAGGGATGGGGGGGGCTGAAGGCAGAGGTTTCAAAGGCAAAAAAAACCACTCCAGAACCCAGCAACAGCAGCAAAAACACCTGTCTGCTTTATCATCTCCAAACAAAACTCCTTGGGCAGGGGCTTGTCATGAGGATTCAGGTTGCTCAGGGAGGTTCACTAGACTCAGGAGAAAACAGCTCATTTCAGGCTGTGCTCCTCCATGAGCTGGGACCTTCAGCCCAAGGGGACTCAGGCCCTCAGGCACAGGGTGGAAGGGGGTGGGGGAAGGCACTCAGGGACCATGACCTTCTCAAGACCTTGCTGACAAGACCATAATCTCCCTCACCATCAGATGAGGAACAATAGCAGAAAAGCAATGTCTGCAGGTCACAGAGAGCCCTGTGCACACCCCAGCCTGTTCCTCCAGCTTGCAAGGAGCAGAGGAAGGGGACATCAGCCATGCAAGAACAAAGCAGAACAGGATCTAGAGCACCTAAAACATGTCCATGCTCTAACCATAGGGCTGTCCTGACTATGTGGGGCAGCCTCATGTCCCCAGTGGGCCCTGGGAGCTGCTGGGCTAGCATCTCTGGACTGGGGGCCTCAGCACACCATGACACAGCCAGGGGCACTGGGAGAGTAGGGCTGTTGTCCTGCAGTGCAGCACAGGGAGAACAAAGCTGTACTTGTCACCCACGCTGTCTCACATGAGCGAGGTCTCCAAACACCAACACCAGCCTAAGGGAACATTGCCCTGAGGGAACAACTGGGCATGAAGGAGCAGCTGGTGCTAGCTGGCCAGGAGGGTCTGCCCCTCCCAGGATGCCTCCAGTCCCCTGGGGGCCACAGCCCTGTGGCTGCATGTCCCACTCAGCCTGGGGTCCCTGCTACCTATGACCACCATCTCCCAGAACAGGCAGGACTGAGCAGCTCAGCTGCCTTCGAAGACCCAGAGAGGTGCTCTAGCCAGCAGGAACCACCAGGACAAGCCAGTAGCCTTCAACATATCGAGAGGGCTCTTGGTATCTGCTCCAGCTGGTATCAGCTCCTGGGGAGCTCTACCAGCTCCTTCAGCCCTTCACAGCTTCTGTGATGGCTGGGGCAATGGGTGGTGGTGAAGAAGGAGCTGGGTTAATGTGGGCGAGGCAGGGAAGGAAGTGGCCTCAGGGGACCGCAGGCAGCGGCACAGCCTGCCAGGAGCATCTTCAGAGACTCATCTCCACCCTCCCGGTACCTGCTGCATCCTCCACCCACGGCTGTGCTGCAAGGTCTTCTCCCTGTGTCTGCAGCAGGGGAGGGGAAGCTGGGGGGCCAGGGAGCTGCACCTCCCCAGCCCCTGGTGCCAGGTCTGCTCTCGCCCCACGGCTGCTCCTTGCAGAGTCCCGCTCGGCACCTTCCCCCTTCAGCAGCTCCCGGGTATTTTGCAGAGTCAGGGATGGACATTTCCCAACCACGACCAGGGGAGGGGGTGGTCCGGTGTGGGGAGGCAGCAGGGTGCCCTGCACCCCGGTGTTGGCCAGGAAATGCGGGCAGGGGGACAGAAGGGGGTGACATTTCCGCGGTGGAAGCACAGTCCCCTCTGTCACCTTGGCAGTGTCACACGTGGGCACAGGACAGCGCCGGGGCTTTCCTGCGGAGTCACCCCAATCTCCGCACCCAGCATCGGGTCCCCCAGCCCCGAGGGCACCCAGAGAAACGCGGGGCTGAGGTCCGGCCCGGCGGCGGGGCAGGCAGGCAGGGCACGGACCACCG